AATTGTTTGCTTGGAGTTCGATCCTAACATTTTTCTCGCGCTGAAGAAGTCGGGGAGCGGATCCCAGAAGAGACAGAGTGCTGTCTTTAAGGGCCCCCTTAGCTTTAAGGGCCTCAACCTCAGCAGCACTAAGACCTGAGGTGCATATACACCCGATAATAGAGAAGAGACAGCAGCAAAAGGAGACAGCAGATGTTCAATATATATGCACATACTCAAAATCTAACGAAAACAGATACAGTAGGCTAAAGAGACAACAACATATTAAACAAACACTAAGGAGACAGACAGTAAGCAAAGGAGACTGTATTAATTAAAAGGAGACAGTAAGAAAAGGAGACAGCAGGAAAAGGAGACAGTCAGAGGCGTATATACATATACATATTTATATACATATATATATGTATATATACATAGATGCATATATATATATATATATATATGTCTGCGCGAAGACATCCATCACTGTTGAGGGCGAAAAAGGAGTAAGTGGGTGCACTCAAACAGAAGAAGATAATACAAATGAGACAAAGCCCCAAAGTGCTGCATGCAGCGGTGCATGCAGCGCCTGCAGTTTCCAGCTTAGAGCTGCGCTGTTTGCAGCAACAACTGCTGCTGCTGCTGCTGTTGCTGCCGCTGATGCGGGAGCAGCGCCACCAACTGTTGCTGCAGCAACAACTGCAGCAGCAGCCGCAGCAACAGCAGCAACAGCAGCAGCATCTGCTGCACCGGAAGCAAAGTAAACAAATAGAGCTTGTGCATGCAAGCAAAAAGACAAAGACATACCAAACATCACTACAAGATTAGGGTTAACCTTGGGGGCCTCTGATGCTGCAGCGTTATGTTCTTGAAGGCAGAGGAGCAGCAGCAGCAGCAGCAGCAAGAGGTATCCCGCTGCTGCTGCTGTCGCTGCAGCTGCTGCTGTTGCAGCAACAGCACCTGCTGCTGCTGCTGTACGCCCCCCATAGACCCTCCCATAACCTCTCATGATGAGAAGAAGAGAGAGGGCTTACTGGAGTGTACGTACAGCTGCAAGCAGCAAAGTTTAGAAGGCCCTGATGATAGGGAGTCTACCACCTAAGGATTTGAAGCTCATGGTGGTTATTGAATGCATTTTAAATAATAAAAACTATCCTTTAGGTGTATATACACCTTAAAAGAAAAAGAAAAATGCTTTAAAGAGCCCTCAACCCTCGCTCGCCACCCGCTCGGTCCATTGGCATGGGATCGGATCCCAGCGCTGCTGCTGCATGCAGTGTGGGGTAAAAGCAATAAAACTTTTGCTTTTTGAAAGAAAAATAAACACTTCAGGTGTATATACACTCCAATTATTCAATAATAAAACCAAACAACAACATCTACCACAGCCCCTAACCTCTGAATATCTGCGGTGTATGTACACTACCCTGAGCGACAGCAGCAAAGGGGTTTGTATTAAGACTAAGGTTTATATTTATATATATTATATTTATTTTTGTCTTATTTAATTTATATTTAACTTTTTATATTTATTTTCGTGCTTTTCTTGCCTTCTTCAGTGCTGCTCCGCTGTATATTTACTAAGCCACCGCTCGTTGCTTCACTGAGAGTATTACCGTGCATTTTATATTTATTTAAACTCCTTTTATTGATTTATACTTCATAGGCAACCAGTCGCAGCTGCTGCTGCTGCTGCTGCCATTAGTTCTGCTGCTGCTGCTATTACCCCTGCTGCTGCTACTGTTTCTGCTGCTGCTACTGCTCGTGCTTGTGTTCTTGTGTTGCTGCTGCTATTAGTTCTGCTGCTTGTCCTGTTGCTGCTGCTGTTGTTTTTGTTGCTGCTGCTGAGATTTCTTACTGCCCAATTGGTTGCCTCTTAGCCCCAAACCCTTTCTCTTTAAAGCAGACTTAGGAGCCTTCATTCAGGTGTACATACACCTGATGGGGGTCTTAATTAGCTATTTTCTGAGGTGTACGTACACCTGATGCATGCACACCTCCTGCGCATCTGGGGCTTTATATAGGCGCACCTCCTAATGCTGCGGTGTATATGCACCTTATGGAATTCCTATTCTGCATGCATTTAAAAATAAACACGCTCGGCAACTACTGAATGTATGTACATACACCTGAAACCCAGACTCAACTCTTGCATCAAGCAAGCCCTCCTCTTGAGGAGCTTGATGATGTCTGTCTGCTGCTGTCTATCTATTAACGCCTTCTATAAACTACTTAATCAATGAAGCACCCTCTGGATGCAAACAGCCCCAAATCCCCCTTCCATAAACCGTTTATGCATGCATGCATGCATATTACAAGCCAGAGAGTGGGGCTGCATGCACTGTTTGCATGCAGCCCCAAGAGCCTCTGGATGCAGCATTAGAGAGGAGACACTGTTCTCTCTTCCCCCTCATTCAAGAGGGGCCCCCCCTGTATAGGAGGTTTCACTCGCTTCCCTGAATAAGGGTCTCCAATACCCCCAGTATAAGCCAGTTGGGGGCCCCCATGAGTAGTACTAGCCCCCTGGGTACCCCCATGGGTACTGTCCCCATGGGGGCCCCCTTGGGGGCCCCCCTGTGCATTACTAATACCCCCGTGGTGGCTCCCATGGGGGCCCCCATGGGTACTACCCCCATGGGGGCCCCCCTGGGTATTAGCTCCGTGGGGGGCCCCCTGGGGGGCCCCCTGGGTATTATTAATATTACTATTATTAGGGTTTCCAGAGTCAAACTCTAGTCGAGTTAAGAAGTCTACACCACCGTGCTGCTGTATCTGTGCTCTTAACTTTGCTACACCTTCAAGAGCTAACTTTACATACTCTTCAGTGCGTCTCGCCTGTAGATATAACAATACAAAGAAACAATGAAGCAGCAGAATGCTGCTGCTGCTTGGGCTGATGCTGCTACTGATGCTGCTCTTCGCTAGAGAGGAGAAAGGGTGTTATCATTAAAGGAGACAAAATAAAAAGAGACAATTAAGAGACAGAAAACCCAAGAAAGGAGACAGACAAAATACAAGAAAAAGGAGACAGTAGACAACAGACAGGAGACAAGAGAAGGGAGACAGTAGAAAGGAGATAACGACGATGAAAAAAGAAGACAGTACAATGGAGACAGTAGAAAGGAGACAATAGAAAGGAGACAACAGAAAGGAGACAGTACAGAGAAGACAACAGAAAGGAGACAGTCGAAAGGAGACAATAGAAAGGAGACAGTAAAAGGGAGACAATAGAAAGGAGACAGTAAAAAGGAGACAATAGAAAGGAGACAGTAAAAAGGAGACAATAGAAAGGAGACAGTAGAAAGGAGACAGGAGGAGACATACTGCCATTACGGAGCTGATGAGTTGTTCTGTATTTAATTTTAAATTAAAGTGCTCCATCAAATCTCCATCACTACGCGGGATGCTTCGCGCTGCAGCAACAACAACCCCACCAAGCAGCAGCAGCAGCAGCAGCAATCCCACCACCAGCAGCAGCAACAGCAATCCCACCAGCAGCAGCAGCAACAACAATCCCAGCAGCAGCAGCAGCAACAACCCCACCACTCAGCAGCAGCAGAAACAACCCCAGCAGCAGCAGCAGCAGCAACCTCAGCAGCAGCAGCAGCAGCAGCAACCTCAGCAGCAGCAACACAAACCCTCCCACTCAGCAGCAGCAGCAGCATCAAACCCAGCAGCAGCCACAAAAACCCCAGCACTCAGCAGCACCACCAACGAAAGGAGACAGCAGCGGCAAGCCAAGCAAGAAGAAAAGACAGCAGCAACAGCAGCAGCTGAAGATGTCGCCTCTTTAACAAAGGAGACAGCAGAAGAGACAGCAGAAGAGACAGCAAAGACATACCCGCAGAAGATCTCTCTGAAAGGATGTGCTGCTGCAGTGTCTTCTCCAGCTCGCTTTCACACATAACAGCAAACTTCCCTTCGGACGCCAAGTGCTGCAGCAAGGAGACAGCAGCAGCAGCAGCAGCAGCAACAGCAACAACAGCAGCAGCAGACAGAAAAGGAGACAAATAAGACTTAAGCAAAAACAGAACACATCCATAACGCCAAACGGATGAAATGGAGACAGATTAAATAAGATGCAACAGACAGACAGAGACAGAGAAAGAGACAAAGACAGAGACAGAGAGAGACAGAGAGAGAGAGAGACAGAAAGGGAGGAAGAGAGAGAGGGAGAGCGACGGAGACAGAGACAGAGAGACAGAGACAGGGGGACAGAGAGAGACAGAGAGACAGAGAAACAGACAAAGAGACAGAGGGACAGACAGACAGAGACAGAGAGAGACAGAGAGAGCGACAGAGAGAGAGCGAGAGGGAGAGAGACAGAAAAGGAGACAGACGCGTGGATACAAACAGCAACAAAGGAGACACTCCAAGGATGAGACTCACATTGCTCTTATCTTTTATGTCTTTAATAAAATGCATGTATAACTTTGTCGTTAATGGTGTAGCTAGCAAAATCTTCACGGCCCAGAACTGCACTCGCACCTGCGGTGTACGTACACCCCAAAAGCAGCAGCACAAGCATCAAGTTTTGTCTCCTGCTGCTGCTCATGCTGCTGCTGCTGCTGAATCTCCTTCCCTCCAAAAGCAGGTGCAGCAGCAGCAGCATAAGCAGCAGCAACAGCAGCAATATCAATAGCAGCAACATCAATATTAGCAGCACTGAAGCAGAAGCAGTATCAGCAGTAGCAGCAAGAGCAGCAGCAGCAGAACAAGCAGCAACAGCAGAATAAGCAGCAACAGCAGCATAAGCAGCAGCAGCAACAACAACAACTATACCTCTTCATAGATAAGCTCGTGGGGGTCTCCTGGGCCCCCTGTCTTAGAGTAAACGTCAGCAATGCCTAAGCGCTGCTTGCGGCGCATCATCGTAGACCTGACTGTCTTTGTTATATCCTCCATTGCAACACCTTAAAGACAAAAGGAGACAGGAGACAAAAAGGAAGAGAAAGGAGACACTAAAGGGAAGCAAACAGACACTGGCTTTGTTATATCCTCCAATGCAACATCTTAAAGACAAAAGGAGACAGGCGAGAAAGAAAGAAGCGAAAGGAGACACTACAAAGAAGAGACAGGAGACAAAAAATAAGGAGACACTGAAAAAAAGAGACAGGAGACATTAAAAAGGAGGGGAAGGAGACACTCAAAAGAAGAAAGAAATGAAGTTATAGGGAGAGACTGTCTTCGTGCTGTCTCCAATTGCAACACCATAAACAAAACGAGAAAGAGATCGGAGACACTAAACAGTAAGCAGACAGCAAGAGACTGCAAGGAGACACCCAGTAAACAGCAAGGAGACAGAAAGGAGACAACAAGAGACAGCGAGGAGACAGACGGCAAGGAAGCCAAAAGGAGACATCAAGGAGACATCAAGGAGACAGCAAAGAGACAGAAAGGAGAGAGCAAGGAGACAATAAGGAGACATCAAGGAGACATCAAGGAGACAGAAAGGAGACGTCAGGGAGACATCAAGGGGATAGCAAAGAAATATCAACGAGACAAAAAGGAGACATCAAGGAGACATCAAGGAGACATCAAGGAGACATCAAGGAGACAGCAAAGAGACAGAAGCGAGGGTGTGAGAGTCACTTCCTAAGAAGTCTTTCTCAAACTGGCGGCAGCCATCGAAGAGGTCTTCGATTGTCTCAAAGTGAAGTGCATGCGTCTGCTCAAATATTAAATCCCTCATCGTGGATGCGCATATCTTCGCCTTAGACCTGCAAGAGAAGGAGACAACAAAGCCCTAACAAAGAGGAGACAGATAAAGGAGACTCCAGCAGACAAAAGGAGACAAACAATCCATATCAAAGCAATGCAAAGAAATAAAACACAAATTAAAAAGATTATGTACGCAGATGCATGCGGAGACAAAGAGGAGACAAACAGGAGACAGAAAGGAGACAAAAAGGAGACAGAAAGGAGACAAAGCCAGGGCGGGGCCAAAAAGAGGACAGAAAGGGGAACGAAGGCGGCCTAGCTAGCTATAGCCAGCCAGTCAGCTAGCTAGCTAGCTAGCTAGCTAGCTAGCTAGCTAGCTAGCTAGCTAGCTAGATACCCAGCTAGCCACCCAGCTAGCTAGCTAGCTAGCTAGATAGGTAGCTAGCCAGCCAGCTAGCCAGTTAGGTACCCAGCAGCTAGCTAGCTAGCTAGCTAGCTAGCTAGCTAGCTAGCTAGGTATCTGTGTATATGTGTGTACGAACCTGCAGTAGTCGTCTAGGGATTGATCTAACTCCTCCATAAACCGCGTGTTCTGAGTTAGGAACTTGAGACCAGAAGACAAATCCCCTGAAAGTATTTGTCTTTTAATTTCCGCTGCTGCAGCAACAAGGACGCGACGAAGCGCGCAAGAAGAAGCACATGCTGCTAGCCTAACTAAATAAAGCATGCAGCCCCGTACATTCGCCTGCAATAAATCTGCTACCAACGGCTCCCAATCCGCCTTGTCCATCACATGCCGCACTGTCCTCATCATCTGCAGCAGCAGCAGCAGCAAGCAGCAGCAAGCAGCAGCAGCAGCAGCAGCAAGCAGAAACAGCAGGAGGAAAAGCAGGAGGAGCAGCAGCATAAGCAACAGCAACACCCTGACAGCTAGCAACGCATACAGCTACCTATAAAGCTAGTTAGCTATCTAGTTAGCTAGCTAACTAGCTAGCTAGCTACTCAGCTAGCTGAGTTAATATTGTTACAACGCCAGATCATCTCCCTTTAAAAATTGAAGTGCTGAGGTGTGGGGTGTTACTGTATGTATGAGCGTGAGGTGTCTAGGCAGCTCGAACATAAGTTTGAGAGTATATATATAATTAATTATAGAGTTTGTTTGTTTGTCTCTCTGTTGCTAACAAACCCACCTGAAGAAGGACATTCTTCATAAAGCGCTTGTCAGGCTCTAAGATAGAAATGTGAAACTTCAACCAGCGACATAAATGCGTTATAGACAGCTGATTTAACAATCGCACGTCGGCAAACTCCCCAGCCAACTTCTGGCTCACAGAAAACTCCGCCTCTCGAGACGCTGCAATCAATAATACCCAGCAAACAAATTATATATATAAATAATATATGTTATATATATTATATATATATTTATATATATATATACTATATACAATATATATATTCTATATGCATATATATACTATATACAATATATATATTCTATATGCATATATATTATATATTATATATACTATATATATTATTTTGATTATATAAATATTCTATGCATATATATGTACGTATAATATAAACAAACATCGATATAACCAACGAGATGGCGAACGTGCTAACTCAATAAACTGCTACCTAACAAATAGCTAGCTAGCAAGCTAGCTATCCAACTAGCAACTAGCTAGCTAGCTACGTAGCCAAGCAAGTAGCTAGGTAGCTAGCTAGCCAGCTACCTGACTAGTTAGCGAACAAACAAGCTAAGGACTGATGAGAAAACGAAGAAATAATGCACAAAGACAGCAACAAAAACAAAGGAAAGCCATCATACAAAAAACAAACAAATACAAACAAAACACTGAAAACAACAACTGCTATAGCCCCACACCTGCCTAGACACCTCAAACGCATGCAACACGATATATACACCGCACATAATACAAACCCCCTTACAATCCTAAACACTAAACCCTAAACCCTAAGCCACAACCCCTAACCTCTGCACGCTAATCCCTAGACCCTAACCTCTACCCACTAAACCCTAAACCCTAAACCCTAAACCCTGAGGCGTAGAGGCTTACGCTGTTTATCACTTTCGCCTACTGCATCCATGAAGAGTTCATCGAGGCCCACCGACTCCTCAGGGGCCCCCTCATTTGGGGGGCTGTCGAGGTCAGGGCCCAGCAAAGGATGAATCACAGCGTGCCCCTTATATAAGGCCCCAGCCCCGTCGCCTGCATGCAAATGCAGCCCCATATCCATGCATGCATACAATGCATGCATGCATGCATGTACATGGATATATATATAT